TTGAGACTGTGTCAGACTACCTGCATATCTTCTTGGTTTACAAAAGGTAGACTTGGTTTAAATCATCATCATCATTCAAAATCTGAGCCAATAAAACCAAAACTACTTGCATGTCTAGATAGAAGAACTGACACTAGTACAAGAAGAAAAAGTTGTAGAAGAATCAGAAACAGAAAACAGCGACTAGGATTATTAACCCAGTATTTTCTCCTGGATTAATTTGTTAATTCCCTTGTAATGTAACCCTGCATTATGAAAGGAACCTTGTTTTAACCCTGTATTTCTCCTTCCCTCCCCCTTTAGGGTACTTCAGAATGGTTTGGAGGTGGAGAGACTACGCTTGAGGAACTTCTTTCATTACTACCACTCCAAACGGGGCATGTGGAACGCCCAAAACAAGAAAAAGGGATAGCGCCCCCTGCTAGTCGGACGATTCTGAACATACCTGCAGATCCACTGTGTGTGAGAGAGACCTGTAGGAGCTCACTCACTGCCTGAACTGCCTTTTTTTTTTTTAAACAGGCTCTGTTCAGGGACGCCTCTGTTTTGCCATTGTCCCCTCTTGTATGCTTGTCTGTGTGAGGAAACCAGGAAATGAGTCCAAATCTAAACTTTGGGAGCGAGCCGTTTAGGCAGACAGACCTGAGTCATCACTTTGCCTCACTGACGGAACTACTGTACAGAGAGAAGATATTAGTTATTTTTGTTCTCCTTCTCTCTGTCCTTTTTTGGTGCAATGTTTTCAGACAGACTGGAAAGCAGCTGTTTTTGTGTGTGTGGGTGTGTTTGCGTGGGATGCGTGGGATATGTATATATATTAGTGTACATGGGTGTGTTGCCGCTTGTGTGTGCTTATGATTACAGGAAGCACCTTTTTTCTAACAAGGAGATGTGAAGACAACCTAAGATCTTTTTTCTAACACGCTCTCACATGGGAGCTTATAGAATGTGTGTCAACATGTTATTCAGATAGATTCAGACATGGTGGTGTAGCTTGAGTAGAGGAACTCTGTCTTTGGTAAACATTTGTATTTCTAAATACATCTACTACTACCTGTTGGATATCATTAATGAGTATGATTGAGGTGCTGCAGTTTTCCTGATACCTGATAGTATGAAACAAGGAAGGTTTTTGAATAAGAAAAGCCCATTTCCAAACAGATACGTCATCTTTATATCTTTTTTTGTCCCTCTCTCGTCCCTCTGTATCTTTTTTATCTTCAACTCATTTCTGCCTTTATCCATTTTAATGTCTAATTTGTATCTGTTCAAACATTATTTATAGCAGTACTGCTGTTTTGTTTTACCTACTACCCCCATATTAATGCTACCTATCAGTTATGACTTGATCCTTCCATTGTTTCATTAACTGAAGTTTAACTGAAGCAGTTGTGCAGTTAGTTATTTAAAATGGCTTTTCATTTGTCCTGACTGATTATGGCTGCACTAACATTTGGGGTGCTATTTTATGTTCTAAAACACTGAATTTGTGAACCGTTTACACCTATCAACTCTACTGACGGTATCCTCCGTTCCCTCCAGATCTCTAACCTCATTGTCAACTAGAACATAAAACTCTTAACAGGAGGGGAACAGAGGACAACAACAGCTTTTTGACATTTGATTTAACGTTGTCACACAATTTTTAAAGCATTTTATGAGCTGAGAATTGCATTTCAACTACTGGATTTGTGGGATTAAAACTCAATCTCTCGTATTAAAATACCACAGAGACAGGGAATGCTTAGCTATTGAAAACATCAACATTATTTTAAGCTTGTATAAAGCTACAACAGAAGGGAGACCAGTTCATGTGTTGGACACGATGTGGTGAGGCATGGCTGTTTCACAAATGTGTGCCTTTATCAGGGTTTGGCTGCAGGCAGTTTTTAAACTACTCCAATGACAGAAGGGAGCAGGGACAGACAGAAATACATCGTTATTTATCAGCAGGCTGTAATGTCACTGTAAATTCAGATACACTGTAAAAGAAAGAAATATGGTTCTTGTCAATGGATTACAGACATGTCAGTGTTTGTTATATTACCTTAGAAGCAGGAAGGAGTGGTCTTTACAAGCCAGTTGCCCCATCTTGTGAGACAGGACAAAGATGGTACTAATGACGACTGAGTGAAATCAGGAGGTGTGATGGAGACTCACTGGCAGCTGCAGTCCAGCAGGACCCCACCTCCTCCCATTAGTTCGACTGGAGGCTGGGCTCCTAATGCCTCTGTTTATGCAACATGGTACTTATATTGATGGGGAGTGGCTGGAGGGCTCAAGGCTGGACATATATATGGCTGAGAGTTAATGATCTGTTATTGACTATATGATTGTCAAAATGCCCTCCAAGACCCTTTCTTTGCCTCTACAGGAAAAAGGTCTATACTTTACGTCATTCAACACTGACATGGGACTATTTAAAGAACAAAAGAAACACATTAGATATAAGACTATATATAAGAAACATAAAAATGAAAAATAGGAATATACATTCCAAGGTAATTTCTGTGAAATTGTTTTGTAGGGAAAAGGTTTTAAGAATGTATTGTACTTTTATTTTGAATTGTTGGGTTTTTGCAAATAAAATTTTATGCTTATGTCCAGATAATTTTTCAGAAGTGTATTTTTTTTATGTTTGTTTTCTTTATTGTTGTCTCTTTGTAAGATTTGTCAAAATATCAACTACAACTAATAGGAGTATAGAGAAGTAAAAAGTAAAAACTATTCCCTATTTAACCACATGGTGGTGCTCCACCCACATATACATACCTGCAGAGGTGGTTGGATGGCTACAAACATATTGTGAGCAGTGGCAGGCTGATTCAGTGTAGGAGGAAAAGACACAATATAAATTAGTCAACGTGTTAAAACCACAAATCCTTTTCTACACACATGAACACTCACAGTCTAGGATCACTTCCTCTATGCAAACAGTTGCTGTTCCTGACCACATAAAAGTATGTGGTTCATTATGACAGGTGACACATGAGGCTTTTATATCCCAGCAATGAGTTGTATCAGGCTCAATGAGGTACTACAAATCCATGAACTTCACTAAAAAGCCTAAAAGAAGTGAATGTAACTCAAAATTACCTGTGAAAATGTCTTGAGCTATGTAATATATATATACATGGATATATATATTTAGCTAGATTATGAAACATTCTTGCTCTCATGCGGTTTTATTACTGGCTATAAATGCAGAGTAAATATGATATCATGTTAAAACCCTCTGCAACCCTCACTCTGTTACTCTCTGAGCCTGACATCACTATCCACTTACCCACTCTAAGTTAAATTTATCTAATATCACATTCATTGTGTTTTATGACCAATGCGGAGAGAAGAGCAAACATTATGAAACTGACATTTTCAACTCCAACAAAGCTGATGTGTTTTTGTGACCACATTTAATCATTTGCAGAGTGTTTTGTTCCCCCCCACGTGTGTGAATGTGCTCTGGGTGATGGGCTGACTTGATGTCTGCCCCTGAGCATGTACGCACACAGAGACCATGAGGTAAGCTCTGTCCTAACAACCGCTACATGAGGTCTGGATGAGGCAAGTGCTAACCTCCCGTGATCTCCTCTACGCCCTGTGTGTCTTCTGATCTCATTTACAGTGGCATTGACTAACACTGCAAAACTGGGGAGTTTTAAGTAGACTGAAAGGTTGACTCCCTATGCAGTTCCCCTGATTATGTGATTCATAGACTGTGACGTGTATGTGTGTGTGTGTGTGTGTGTGTGTTTGAGAGCCAGTTTTTCCACTTTAGGTGTACCGTACAGGCATAGTATAGTATGTTCTCTAACATCCAGGTCTGTATATGTGCAAGAAAAAACATTCATTATAGCCACTTTCACAATGTGTTGCATTATCATAAGCATGTGGGGTAACTGCCCTAAACCCATTATGTAATAGTGTTGGACTCTTGCCCAGTGGAGACACACCCTACCTGTCTATATGAGTGCAGAGTGATGAGAAGCAGGTAGTCACAGGCCTCTTCAACATGTTTGCTTTTTTTTTTTTTTTACCTCACGCATGTTACAGCACCTAACCACAAACAACAAACAGGGGCCACATGATGATCCCAAACTGAAGTTTCGTAAGAGGATTTGCTCAAACTTTGTTTTGAAAGCTAGAAATGACACTTTTTCAAAAAAAAAAAAGTACCTCTGCTGACTAGTACTGAAAGGTACTGGACTGGGTACAAAGCCCAGTACAAGCCAGCACAGTACAGTCAAAATTAAAACGAAAATGAAAATTTGCAGGCCAACATACACATAAACTATTACAACACTTCTGTCTTCCTTGCAATCCCATATAAGCTTTTAAAATGCACTTTCAGTGAAAATCCTAAGCCTCATCAAGTCAAATTTAACACTGCCCCACCTCTTACATGATTACCAAGGGTTTAACAGATTCAATTCCTGTTACAGGCTGCGGGGGAGAGATTAGCTAATGTGTAGACAGCAAGCCAAGTTCCCCAGAGTCAACACCTGAAGTCTGCCTGGTGTGCAGTTTGGTTCCAGGTAACTAACCAGAAGAATTTCCCCAGACCCATTCATGTAATATTTAATGGGATTTATCGTGGCGGAGTAGTTAGTGAAAGGTAGCAGCCGTTAATTAGATTATACATTATAATATTTAATCGCATTTTGTGGTAGAATGGTGATACGAAATAAACAAAAGACTGTGAAACAGTTGAAGTAATACGAAGCTATTCTCTCTGTGGTTGTGTAAAACGTTTGTAAATCGAGCATTAAAGCTAATACGGCCATATGTAGGTCACACATGTGAAGGGAATTTCTTTGATTCGTCATTTGAGGCGAAACAAAGTTTACTTCTCCGAAACTTAGGAAAGAGTTGGAGCGGGTGCTGATTGGCTGCCACAAAAGTCGGCCCTCTCCTGATTGGTCGCTCGAGTCGCTTCCATGTTGTCATTCAGCGGCGGTCCCTCCTTTCACACATCTGTGCTGAGACTCTCAGACAGGCAGTTTCTGACCGAGCACCGGGACGGGAGGGTGATGAGGTAGACTCGGACTCTTTTTACTCGGTTATCTACGAAAACGAAACAGTTGAGCGGCTTCGCGGGGACATATTTGTATACTAAAGGAACTCGGGTCTGGCTGTATTCAGAGAGAGAGGGGAGACATTTCGTCGTGTTTTAAAAGACTGTGGATACTGGAGGAAAGTTTAAAGCCCTGCGCTGCCCAGGGGGAAAGGTGAGACGGGTGCGACTCTGACTTTCTCTGGCTGACCTGTTTGTTAACGACAGTATAAGGTGGCTTTCATTAAAAAACAAACACTTATATGATTTTATCTACTCGTACACTTGTGTTGTTTCGCTGTCCAGCAACTCCATTTAGCAGCATGTCTGACAAGTGTCGCGCTGTGTAACCAGTTCATCCAGCTCGGCGGAGTTTCGACTGCTGCTGCTTGACTTCCAGATTGACTTCCAGGTAAACGGCTGGCGAGGTCTGCCACTCTTCCAAAGCACCCCAGAAAAAAATAAATAAAAAAAGCCGTTTAACAATAATGGCTGGTTTGAGCAATGTCCACATGAAGACCTTGGAGGACCTGACGCTGGACTCTGGCTACGGGGCGGGGGACTCCTGTAAATCCCTCAGCCTGTCCTCCTCCAAGTCAAACTCCCAGGCTTTCATGACGGCCCCTCACCGGGGCAACTGGTGGTACTACTCCGGCTCCATGAACAGCAGGAACAACAGCTGGGACACGGTCAACACTGTCCTCCCCGAAGACCCGGAGGACATCTTCTCCAAGTGCCCCCGCTTACCTGAGCTGGAAGAGTTCCCCTGGACCGAAGAGGAGGTGGCCAAGGTTCTGCGCAAAGTGGCCGAGAGTGGGTGCGCTAAAGGGGGACCTGCACCTGTGTTCTCTCCGGAGGCCGTGAGGCGGCTGTCCGGTCTCCTCCGCAGGGCTCTGATCCGGATCTCCAGAGAGGCGCAGCGGCTCAGCGTCATGCACTGCCGCTGCACACGCTTCGAGGTCCAGAGCGCCATGAGGCTGGTGCTCAGCTGGGCCCTGGCCGACCACTGCGTCTCTGCCACGGTCAAGGCCATCTCCATGTATAGTATGAGTGCCGGGGAGCTGCTGAGGAAGGGCAAGTCCGCCCGCTGCGGCCTCTCCTTCTCCGTGGGACGCTTCTTCCGCTGGATGGTGGATACCCGCATCTCCGTGCGCATCCACGAGTATGCAGCTATATGCCTGACCGCATGCATGGAAGCTCTGGTGGAGGAGATAGGAGCCAGGGTGCTGATGGCCGAGAGGGGTCATTCGGGGCCGGATCTGGGGTCAGCATGCGCCCCAGTGAGTGCAGAGGCCCTGGAAGGGGTCGTGAACAATGATGCGGAGCTGTGGGGAGTCCTGCAGCACTATGAGCACCTGATCTGCGGGAAGAACGCCAATGGTAAATACATTGAAGTTTTTTCAGTGCACTTAAATGAACCAAATGTCTAGTTGTTCTGTGGGGAAATTGATTGAAATGACTTTCAGTGTATGTTTTTCTGTGTGGTGATGGATGTCACACACTCTCCTCTCAGAGTGCTGGTCATCACTTTCCACTCCCTCACAGGGTGGAAAAGGTGAACTGTGGCCTGCTGCTGCATACAACAACAGCTCTTTGTGCGTGAGCATTTGATGGATCCATTGCTAATTTGACTTGTCAGAATAGGAAAATAACAGTACAGAGGGCATCTGACACGGACAAAGAAAGTATTTTCTCTCTGAGCAGGGTCGTACGAGGAGAAACGACTGCTGCGTTCTGTGTTGGACAAACTAGATTTGAACCACTTCGCTCTCATCGGTCGGTTGCGGGATTGAGTCCTCACGTTGCTCCCGGTCTGCTGTTGCGATTTGGGGTGCAGATACCCTTTAGAGCGCAGGCAGGAGGCTTGTCTGTTGACACAGCTCTCTGTTTACGCTGACTTCACCTCTTATCCTCCCGCTGTGTTGGCTGCACTCCTTCCAAATCCTCCCCTTCCATTTCCTCCTCCTCCTCTCCTCCTGCTGGACAAACTCCCTTTCACCCACCACCATCTCCACATATCTTACATCACTCTCCCTCCTTTCTCATCCAGCTCCAGCTGTGCATCCTGCTCCACCCTAACATCCCTCCTCAATCAACTCTCGTTCACGTCTCTCCTTGTCAAACCCTAGTAGAGTCGTAGCGCTCTTTCTGTGGCTGTTCTGGCAGCCCAGTGTTGAGTTGATTCATGAGCTTGTGTTGGGACAATGTAACCAGCCTTTGTTTGTGGCCCACTACCAGCTCCCTGGAGCAGAGCTCTTTACTGAAGGACAATAGCCTTTTGTAGTGTGATCGTGCAGCTTAGCCCAGCACAGAGGGAGTGAAACCAAATGCTGGGAAGCTGGGCATACACATCCATGTACATAACAGAGAGAGGGGGAAAGACAAAATAACTGAAGATGGCCATCATTACAGGGCTGTAGGCTCACTGCGGATCTTAGTTAAGACGTTATCATGCAGCAGCACCTTCGTGTGCCAATGTGAAGAAGAGGTTAATGCGTTAACACTGCCAGCCTCCCAAAGGTCTGAGATCAATCAGCATGTAACACAGTACTTGCACACTGTCAGTCATTACACTGCACACCTTACATTTCATATTCTGTGCAGCTTCCATTCAGTTCATTATAATGTGCACTACATTTAAGTCTGCGAACAATGGAGTGCAGTGCATTAGACTTGCCAGTTATCTGGCCATATGCTTGAGGTAGAGCTATTTCATTGCAAAATAAGTTAAAGAGCAGCTTTTTTCCCAGTATTTAACCAGATGTCTTTTGGTTGGGTTTTCGACTGGCCTATTTTGGTGAGTTCAGTCATCGGTTTTGAGAAAGACCAGCGTGTGTGTGTGTGTGTGTGTGTGTGTGTGTGTATGTGTGTGTAATAACAACAGACCATTATTCTGACCACCCTAGCTTTTTATAGGCCCTAGACTGGGCTGTGCAAGCCACATACCCCTCTACCACCTTACCACCTGACACCCCGCACCCTTTCAGCACCCACCCCCTCTGCTGCTGAAGACAACACGACCACCAGTGCACACAGAAGCAAAGATCCACTTTCTGCTCTCAAAGCAGATAGTGTCAGAAAGGGAGTGCAGACTACCGATCATATGGAAGGGCACAGTCTGATAAATACTCCTCCCTCCCTCTTGAATTCTCTCCGTCTCTTAGACTCTTTCTCTTTCTCAGGGGCTGGCCCACATCTGGAACTCTTTAAGTCAGAAATGACTTCTACGGCTCCAATAACAATTCTGAAAACTCCCTCCCTCCTCTCCTCCTGCCCTCTCTTGCTCACTCTCACTCTTGGCTCTCTCGTTTTTTTTCTTTGCCATTGCGTTCACGTCCACTTCATCTTTATCTGTTTATTTCTTCTGGTCTACAGGGAGTGCATTAGAGGAACCCGGTTGTGATGTGCCAGGATCTTATTCATTACTCATGCACACACTCGCACTTGCACATTTGCGCACACACAGACACATGCCCTGAAACCTATTTAGTCTGCGTTGCATGTGTTCAAATGGCTCCACAGCACTGGTTGAACCCACTACACAGTGCCGCTATACAGAAGAATCCATTTGTCATTCATTTCTCCACACAAGGAAAACGCACGAGCGAGCTCTTCCTAGTGTAATTTGTATTGATAGTACTGTGGGGCATTTTAAAGTGCAGAGTAGTAGCTATACTAATGGACAGTGGAAGTGCCTATGAAATCATTGATCTATATAACTGGCACACAGATGTCTTTTAAACTCTGGTCCGGCTGGCAAAACAGTTGTCTAAGTTCAGCCCCGTTTGAGCTTTTGTGGGACTTTTGCAATGTTCTCAGACTTTATTTTTGTGTCTGTACTTGTTTCCCAAGATAGCCGTTGAAGCAGTATTCCAATAATTAGATATGCAAACTACTGACTTGAACTTGAGCAAGGCTGTTAACTCTCAACTTGTCCATTCAAGCTTTGCAGTGGAAGATTGTGGTAGTAAAGGGCTTCTCTGTGGCTTGAGCGTGTACAACTATGAATCTGAGGCAGTGACTATCTGAAAGAGAGCATTCATGCATGAGAGCATGATTTACCTGGATAAATAAACTTTGATTTGGTCCAGTAGTAACAGAAAGTTGAGTTTCTGTGCTCCAGCTTCATAAAGGCAATAAAAAGGAGGCTGCGAGTAATGGGTTTGGGGTGCACTGAGAGCAGGGCATATGATTTGCTGCTCAGTATTTCCCTAAATATGTATTTAGCCCAGAAAGAGGCGTGGGAACAGCGGGCAGAAAGATGCAGGGAGAACGGCCCAGCACTGTGGTCACACAGATGGGGAAACCAGCACTCTCAAAATACACTCCCTGCTCCACAAATCTGGAGCATGATCAAATACAGTTTTGGAAAACATATCAGGACATTAATATTATGGTGAAATAGATTTAAGTTCATCCCTGTGTGATGCATGCGTGTTAGACATGCTGCAGATATGCTCGGGAATTAACAGCAAGCCCGTATTTGGCCTGAATAACTGTACAGATGAATTTAGGTTAACCTTGTGAACACTGTCAGCAGGTCAGCGTGTGTGTAGAGTTAAGACCATAAGTCATATCGCTCTAGTGGATAATAAGGGTTAATCCTTCACACAACACTACAATTGATGTTTGTGTGTCAGTGTGTTACGCGTGGGTGCGTGTACCACCTCAGGCTACACACACATACACACGCTGACGGTCCATGTCGCTGTTTGCACTGGCTTCCTTTCTAGTCCCAGCTGTGAAAACACTGACCCATTAGTTTGCCGGTGTGCACATGTGTTTCAATGTGCTCATCTGTGGGTGCTCAAATATACTTGTGTGGGTATTGGCTCTTCTTGGAAATCCGTGAGTAATGCTTGCGCAGATATGATTTCTCAGGCTATTACAAAACCAACAACATTGATTCAGGAACCTCCTGTCCATTTCTTTTAGTTTGTGACATTAATAACAATCAAAGTCGAATAAGTCGATTGCATACTCCACCATGCGTAGCCCCTCTTTACTCACTCTCTTCCTTGCAACTTCAGTCATTATTTTGATGTCAAGCCACGCTCCTCCTATTACATTACAGCCGCATGAGTCATGCTTTTTAACACTGTTTACAGTAAAGCACTGATAAAGAGGAAGCAAAGAAAGATGGGGAATACAGATACTCAAGGGAAAAAAGGGAACGGACACAAACAGAGACACAGAAATAGTGACAGCAAACTTGAAAGCATTTGGGCCTTTGCATCTTGATTTATTCTTTGTAATCACATTCTTGGAGAGTAGCGGTTCAGTTTTTATTCCATCCAGAGAGAACAGGAGTGCTTGGATTGGTATTGAGCTTCTTTGGCTTGTTTAAATCGGAAAATGAGCAGCCAGTGTGTCACATGCATTAGCACGGAGTCCAGGCTGTGGTTCTTGAGGGAATCTGTTCTGGACGTTGGGTTTGGGTTGCAGCCGGAGTAGCTAATGAGGGAAGCAAGAAGACTGGCTGGAAGATGGCTGGAATCTTGGGCCTGGCAGCTTAGTGCATTGCCTGGATGCTAGCAATGGTTTTGTTTAAAAGGAACCACTGTTCATCACATCATCCCTGTGTGAAGTCTGGCTTAGAGACAGCACTGCCACATGCACCTGCGTCAGAGTCTGGCTTGGTCGTAATGATATTTAAATCTAAGTGTTAGGCGTTGAAGGCCGGAAATTAAAGGTAAGTGGTTGTCATGCAAGTGCTTCTTAATAGAAACGAAATGCAAAAAAGAGGACTTGATGAGAAAGTGTTTTTTGCCATGACATGAGTGGATGTGGTCGGTGGTGATGCAGTTGACAGTTGGACGCACTTAATCAGTCTTGGCGATGATATAGGAATTTTCACTGTCAGAGTGATTTAAATGCTTTTCATTCACATCTATTTGCTGTGTCCTGTGTTAGGGTGGAAATGAGAAGTAGACTAAATATTCACAGATGCACCATGGGACTGGGCAGGTTTTACACAGAAAGTACTGCACAGGTCAGTCAGTCCTTATGTGTGGAACACATTGACCTTCATTGCCACAACTTACCAGAGTTTTTTTTAGTCCATCTGTCCACCTAAATAGTAGCTATAGCAACACAATCCAAAAAGGCCCAATAATGATTCAACATTTGGTTCATGTGTGAGACTGAGGCTGAGGTTCAAGAGAAAATGCCGTCTAACTTTACTGCCTAGACAGAGTGGTGAGGTGAGGATCACAGTAAATGGATAGCAAGATATTAAGGCCTCTCTCCACATAAAAGTAGCCCCAGCCGCTCATCTTTCTTTTCTCCCTCTGACTGACATGGGAACCGAAATGGCTTGTGTAAGTTTTAAGCGTTGTTTGCTTAAATGTCCCGAGGAAGAAATATAACTTTAATAATAT